ATGATTGAAGAATCACCTATTAAATCATATTTAATTTTTTTGGTATTAAGATAACCTCTTTGGTTAAGTGTGTTTTTATTGTATAAATAAATAATTATATATATTTGAAAAATACAAACTAACTATATCTGTATTTTATAGATATCTATTTAAGTAATTTATCTATAACTAGATTTTACACTAGATATTATATCTGTAATTTATTTATTTAGATTGTATATTTAAATTCTTTACATCTATATACTCTGAGATCTACAACAATTGATAAGGTTGTGCTATTTATTACGTAATTTAAAAAAGGTGAGAAGGATAGTGGTTTATCACATATTGATATATTGATCTAGATTAACCAATCAAAATTATTACTAGGAAGGAAGAAGGTCCAACCTTATAATAAAAATAAATTACATAATAAACTACACTTCTCTAACTATTATTCTTATTTTGAAAAACAGGTTTTTCTAGTACTTGGTTTATATAATATTTTAGAACTTTAAATAAGCTATTATTCTTTTATTGATCTACTTTTGATTATTTATCTTTAATAAATAATTCACTAGTTATCTGAAAAGCTATTTGATGCAAGTTACACAAAATTTATATATAAATTATATATAAAATCTTTAAATAGTAAATATAGAAAGATTTCTTTTAAAACCTTTTTTCTTACTAAATAAATTGCTCTTAGGCTTCTAACAAAAGTTGTAGAGCTTATCAAGATGCATTTAATGGTAATAAGAACACTGAAATTGGTCTAGTGGTTCTTGAGAAATTTTTAAAAAATGTTTCGCTAATATATAAAATTTTCTTAAAAAAAATCAATTTTTTTTAATGAAATTTTATATGTTAGTAAACCATTTTTTAAAGATTTCTCAAGAATTACCAAGCCAATTTTAGTATTCTTATCACCATTAAATGCATCTTGATGAGCTCTACAACTTTTGTTAGAAGCCCAAGAGCAATTTATTTAGTAAGAAAAAAAGTTTTAGAGAAATCTCTTCACATTTAGCAAATTATCTCAAGATGATAGATAGATTGTCTATTAAAGTAAACTAACAAAATCTATAGTATTTTACTTTTACTATATGATTTATAATTTATACTTTAGTTAATCTATATAGACTAGGACTTGTCACTTGTATTTAGATTTTGTTTATAATAAAAGTATTAATATTCTATGATCAAAATCATATATCTTTAGTTTTTTTTTTTAATTTTAAGGTGAGGCCTTGCTCATATCTTTATTAATAATCTTTTAAAATAGTAATAATATAAATCACTATAGTATAATCACTGAAGCTTTTACTTGTAATTAGAGCTAACCATTAAACAACTAAATATAGAAATTTATAGTGCTACTACTATTTGTATTAGTACAAATAAAAATAAAAATTATATATAAAAATAAGGGCTCAGACAAGAAAACTAATTTATCTGTGACCTAAATCTACTAGAGTAGTAAAAAAAACACCTAGATTTCAAACCTGTAAAAATTGATAGAAAATAACAATTTCAGAAAAAATAAAAATTTTTAGAATATTAAAATATAACAGTATAGTAATAATATATATTATTAGAAATAATAAGCTAATATAGGAGTATAAATTGTTAGATCTATTGCTAATTGTAAGTAGTATATAGTTATATTTAAAAGATTAAATTTTTATTTGAAAGAGTTAAATAAGTGAGTTTAAGTAGTTTTTCATCATTTTCGATAATAGGTTCTTTGTCTTTTGTTATTCTTTGGTGTTTTTTGTCATTTTTTGGTAGATAGGTTCTTTGTCTCTTCGTCAATAGGTTCAAGTCCTTTAATAGTTCTTCTTCATAGATAATTTTGGTAATAGGTTCTTTGTCTTTTTATTATCTTTTGATGGTTCTTTATCATTTTTCAGTGGCTAGATCTTTTTTTCTTCATTAGTGGGTTTTGTAAGTTCTTTAGTAAGTAATTTTGTTGTTTCTTGATGAGTAAGTTCTTTGTTTTTTTGCATTTTTTTAGTAAGTTTTTCGATAGTTTCTTTAAGTCTTTTGGTGGTTCTTTATCATTTTTTGGTAGACTTTTTTGTTGTTTTGAGTTTGTTTATTACCATTTTTGTTCTTTCTTCATCTTATTTTTTGTTCTATTTTTTGTCCTGTTTTTATCACATTTTTCTTCTTATTTTTGATCTGTTTGTACTTGACTAAAAAAATAAATTAAATTTAAAAAAAAATTAAATTAAATTATTAATAATTTAATAAAATAAAAAAAAATAAAAAAATAAGGATATACGTGATCGATTTGATTAGTTAATCATGGGGTTGCAATAGTGATAGATCACCATAAAATAATATCTTTAATTAAAATACTAATTACAATATATATAATAAAATAACTATATAAAATAACTAATTTTAATATTTTTTAAAAGAGTAAGTTATACTATATTTAATTTATGAATAAATACTAATATTAAAAAATTAGATATTAAAAATTAAAATTTTACTATTTGGAGAAAATTAATAAAAAATAAAAAATTAACTAACTCTTCCTGACGATTACTTGGACCAACTGTTTCTACCCAACTCAAGTTAAAGAACTTGAAGCCTGGCATTTAAAACTATTCAAATTTTTCTCTGAGTTGCTATTGACAAAGCCTCTACCATAATATATCAAGGAGTAAGTGGTAGAGAAGCAATTTGTAGCCTGGGTCAAGCTTATTCTTTGGTGGACTCTCTTTTACGTTCGGCATTCAAGCTAGAAGAGTTATTCTAGTAGCAATTAAACAAGAGGAAATTTTGAATAGTAGAAGAAAGAAGGACAAGAAAGAACAACTGGAAAAGTACTCATTATAGCTGGTATCTCGCAAAAAATCTTTGTTTTTCCTATTTTCATTTTTGTTAATATCTTGGCAGATTTTTGTCAGAGGTATTAGTTTATGATGACAAAAAGATCGATATTGCTTATCTTTTCAAAATAGGATGTAGCTATATTATAATATGTGAAAGATTCGAAAGGATTATAGTACAGAATAGCCTGGTTCTAAAAATAGTATACTTGCAGTTCTTTGAAGATAATAAGAGTTGTCATAACAAGTAGTTTCAGAGATATATTATAGTAGTCACCAGATATATAATTTTTATATCTTTGTGCAGGTTAT